CGGGGTGTGGTAGCGCACGCCTGTAGTTCCAGCTCCTTGGAAGGCTGAGGCGGAAGGATCGCCAGAGCCCAGCAGCTCGAGGCTGCAGTGGCCGGGAGCGTCCACTGCACTCCAGTCTGGGCGACAGAGTGAGACTCCAACTCCAAAAAAAATAAATAAATAAAAGACTTTCACTTCTAGGTACATATTTTAAGACCATGTGCCTCTTTCTCCCCAATTTTAGAACCTCCATCCAGCCCAAAATACATCTGGATCTTTTAAGGTCGCTTTGGACCCAGTGAGGATTAAGATGTGGTGACAGCTTCTTCAGCTAAAGTTCTTCTGACTAATAAGGGCTTCGTGATTTTTCTTTTGTCCTCAGTTGCTGTACCTGCCTTTCAGGAACTGCCCCCGTTTTCAGGAACTTCAGAGTGAGACTTTGCAGTCAGAGGAGTTCCAGAAGAGGCTGCAGCCTTACAAGGTTTGGAGGTTGTATGATTTCACGGTGTATGTGGGTGTGAGGGCCAAGACAACTCATGGAGCCTCGGCTTCTTAGCATGGGTGAGTGTGTCTGGGGTGGCTGCCGATAGCAATGGGTTAGCATGTTTCTTCTGGGGGGGAATGTAATCGGAGTCTCCCTCTGTCACCCAGGCTGGGGTAGAGTGGCACGCTCATGGCTACCCGCAGCCTCCAGGGCTGGACTCAGGCAATCCTTCCGCCTCAGCCTCCAAGTAGCTGGAACTACAGGCACGTGCCACTATGTCCAGCTAATTTTCTTTTATTATTCTTTTGTAGAGACAAGGTCTCACCTGTTGCCCAGGCTGGTCTTGAACCCCTGAGCTCAGGTAATCCTCTCACCCCCGCCTCCCAAAGTGTGGGTATTACAGGCGTGAGCCACCACACCCTGTCAGTTAGCTTGTCTCATGAGGGAAGGCATCATTCCCTGAGCCCTTCTCTGGGTAGGGACTACAGACCAGCAGAGAACCCAGTCCTTCTGGCTCTTGTGCCCAGGGCCCTGAGAGGAACCAGGTGTGATGAGAGGCTGGACGGGAATAAGGCATGTCTAAAATCACCTGGCTTACCGAGCAGAGGGGTCAGGACTATGGTCTGGATTGTCTTCTTTATTTCTACGTTTCCCTTTTCAAATGCCCTTTTCACGCCTATAAGAAGGCGACATAATGTATTTTCAAAAGAAATCTCTTGCATCAGAATATATTCATGCAGTCCAAAAATCAGAAAATATAAAAAGGACATAAAATTAAAAGAACCCCACCGGTGACTGCTGGCATTATGTTGTTATGTAATAGGACCACATGGTATCTTTATGATTATACAAACAGACACAAAGACATCCTGAAAGTTTCCCTCCTTTTTTGCACAGAAGTATGATATGATTCACAGGTAGGTACATTGTTTTTTTGCTTTTTTTTTGTTCCCCATTTAACAAATTATCTGGAGCTATTCTTATATCTGCACATAGTTTTCTCATTTCTTTCTTTTTAAAAAGTGTGTATTATTTCTATTTATGGACATGACATAATTTGTATAACCAGCCCCTACTGATGGAAATGCACTTGTCTTCAATCTTTTATTTCTATAGTCTGTGTGAATACATTGTGTGTCTGAATAATTCCACAAGAATGCCTGTGGGATAATAACCCAGATGGAGATATGCTGGGGCAATTGGAAAGGAGTACAACCTTTCTACGCCTGTCAGCACGGCCTGAGCGTGCCCATTTCCCCACAACCTTCCAGCACTGTGGACAAACCTGGGGATAGCTGCCAATCAGAGAAGTGCAAACTTGTGGCCGGAAGCATCCCTTCTAAAATCAGGAACGAGGCCAGGAAGCGCATCATCACCACTGTCACACAGTGTTGCGCTTCTTATGATGCGTGAGCATGGGCGTCTCTATCTTTTTTTTTTAACTGGAGTCTCACCCTGTTGCCAGGCTGGAGTGCAGTGGCATCCTCACAGCCACCGCAGCCTCAGCCTGCTTTCTTTTTAAAGCATGTATAAAATCACCTGGCTTACCAAGGGTTGGGTTCCGGCAGTCCTTCCACCTCAGCCTTCCAAGTAGCTGGAATTACAGGCACACACCACCACACCCAGCTAATTTTTTTATTTGTCATAAAGACAAGGTCTCACCAAGTTGCCCGGGCTGGTCTCGAACCCCTGGGCTCAAGGAATCCTCTCACCTCGTTCTCCCAAAGTGCTGGGATGACAGTCTCCATCTTCTTAAATGCCATTTGTAACTCCTTTTTTATTCATATCCCTTGACTATTTTTTCTTTTGGATGATTGGTATTCTTTTTTCCTGTAAGGTTTTAGAAGGTTTCTGTATATTTTTATATATTTTACCACTTCTGTCTGTGATATTTTGTGTGTGAAACTCAATGTGCTTTTTCCTATTTTCTCACTCACCACCAACAATTAACACAGAAGACTTCTGTGACCAAATGCAGGGTTTTCTCCCTACCAACAGGCAATCAGTTCTGCAAGTGGACGCCAGCTGGGTGTCCTCCAATGCAATCACAACATCCTCCACCTGGAGATGGTGTCAAATTCCACAGGGAGAAGGCTTGGTACCCAACACTACCTCTCCCTGCAGTCACCAGTCACAAGTCCAGGCCTCTGGAGCGTATCAACTGGCTTCAAGTTGGGGTTCCCACTACTTTCCCTTTGGGTTCAGTTAATTTGCTGGAGTGGCTCATAGAACTCACGGAAACACATTACTGGCTTATTAAAAGGATATGGGCTAAGGTCTTGGAGCTCAAATTCCTTCTCCAGGGCTACCACCTTCCAGGAACCTCCATGTGTTCAGCTATCTGGAAGCTCTCTAAACCCTGTCCTTCGAGATTTTTGTGGAGACTTTATTGCATAGGCATAATTGATCAATCTGGTGTCCCTCAATTTAAACTTTGACCCCCTCCTCTCCCCGGAGGTTTTGGGTGGAGCTAAACGTCAACCCCTCATCATGCCTTGGGCTTTCTGGCGACCAGCCCCATCCTGCAGCTGCTCAGGGGCTGCCAGTCATCAGTCCGTCGTGACTCAGAAAGAAGTCACTTTGGAGATTCCAAGGATTTGGGGAGTTGTATGCCAGAAAGTGGATGAAACCAAGTGCACATTTCACAGTATCATAGATATGAATAGCAGTTGTTTGTCTATTGACTTTGCTTATGGTGTTCCTGCCATGTGGGATATGAATGTGTCAATATATCCTTATATGGGTTCCATATTTAGAAAAGCCTTCCCCCTCACCTTGGACAGGGATGATGGCTCACGCCTATAATCCCAGCACTTTGGAAGGCTGAGGTGGGAGGATTGCCTGAGCTCAGGGGTTTGAGACCAGCCTGGGCCACTTGGAGAGACCTCATTTCTACAGTAAATCAAAAAATTAGCTGGGTATGGTGGTACACACCTGTAGTTTCAGTTACTTGGAAAGCCTAGGTGGAAGGATTGCCTGAGCCCAGCAGGTTGAGGCTGCAGTGGCCGTGAGTATGCCACTGCACTCCAGCCTGCGCAACAGAGTGAGACTCCAACTAAAAAACAAAAACAAAAACAAAAAAAACTATCCCCATTCCTGGGTTCTAAAGGAAGTCTGCAGCTCTTTCTTCTAATTCTATGATAGCTTCATTTCTGCACTTACGTTTTGCATCTATTTAGAGTTTACTGGTATTAGGGTAGGTACATATCCTAAGTTTTTTCCTGAAAGGTTATCTAATTGACCACTATTTATGGAATAGATCATCTTTCCCCACTAATTTAAGCTAGTATAAACTAAAATCCTAAATGTGTAGGGTCTATTTTTATTCTATTCAATTGTTCTCACTTGCCGACATCACAGTTTTAATTATTAAGACTTTATAGTGTACTTTAATATTTAAAGGACTGGTCACCCCTCATTGCTCCACTTTTTCTGAGTTTTCATGGCTTTGCTTTCTTTCTTTCTTTCTGTGAATTTCAGAGTCAACTTGTCTAGTTTCAAAAATATTTTGTTTTTAATTTCAAATGCTTTTATTAGGACCATATTAACATTATAAATTACCCTAGGGAGAATTTGCAACTTTCAATGTTGAATCTTCTTGTCCAAGAATATGGTATACTTTTCTACTTGTTCTTATCTTAAAGGTTATTTTAGGGTTTTCTTCATATATGTCTTTACATTTTTGTTAAGTTTATTTCAGGCTTCTAATATCTGCAAATAATAATGGTTTACCTCTAATTTTCAAAATGTGTACCTCTGATTTTTTTCTTTTGCCTATTTGCATTGGCCAGTACTCAACAATACAGTGTTACATGGAAGTGTTGGTAGTGGGAATTCTTGTCTTATTTCTAATTTCAGAAGACTTTTTCTATTAAGCATCCTGTCTTTTAAACCGAAATAGGTATATTTTTGTCAAGCTAAGGAAGTATTACCTTCCTATTTTCTTGAGTGTTTTTAAAAAATCAATATTGGTTGCTTAATCTTCTGAAAGATCTTTTCAATATTCTCCTCCTTTAATCTATTACAATGATTAATTATATTCATAGGTTTACTAATGCTGGAATAAATTTACATTTTCAAATTAAACCCCTCTCTTTTAATGTGACATTGAATTATTTGCTATTATTTTATTCAGGCCTTGTACATTGATAGTTACAAATGACATCTAACTATAGTTTTATCTTGGGTGCAATCTTTGTTGGTTTTGACGTTACACTTAATTCATAATAAATAAATTTTTGAAAGTTTCTCTCTTTTTTATGCTCCAGAAGAGTTAGAATAGCTCCAGAATAGCATTAGAATAATTCAACTCTTGAAAACTTGATAGAATTCCTCTATGAAATCAACTTGACTTGGAACTTTTGTGTTTGAGGAGGTGGTGGTGGGAGCTCTTTAACAATGATTTCTGTTTATTTTATGGAAATCTGTTGAGGTTACTCTTGGTAAATTGTAGTTCCTTAGACAATATATCCGCCAGACTGGCAATACCTTCCAAAAGACTTTCCAGAAATTGTTACCAGATAGTTGAACATTGGGTCTCGATGTGAAAACCCAAGAATAATTCAGAACCTAGTGAAAGGTTTGCATTCCATAGATTTCATATTTGTAGCCAGAGACCGGGTCCTGTTTCTGCTGTGTCTTCCTGGGAGGCCTGGGCCTGATATGTGCTTTCTTATCTCACCTGGGACACCCATTTGCCTGCGAGTGACATTTCACCTGCTTCCAAACAGAATCTGGCTCCAGCACAAACAAGGAACATGTGGCGGCAATTTTTCTGCAGTTTTAGTACAAGAAGAAGAAATTATCAATTAGTGTGTATGAAATTATAGGCACTATCACAGCCAATATTACTGATATCTTTTTCTGGAAAGAACAATGAGGGCTAATTTGCCTCACACAGAACATCTGACAATGTCTGGAGACATTTTGGGTTGTCACAGTGGAAGATCAGGGATGCCACCGGCGTCAGGTGGGTGGAGGCCAGGATACTTCAGAACATCCCACAGTGCCCAGGACAACCCCCATGACAAAGGATTATCCAGCCCACGGTTTCAGCAGTGCCAAAGCTGAGAGATGCTGATATAGAACTATTGTTTTCTGTTTGTGTTTCAGGATTTTATAGAAACCCTGCCAAAACTTTCAGGATTCCATGGCCAGGACCTTTTTGGAATTTGGAGTAAAGTCTACGACCCTTTATATTGTGAGGTAAAAGAAAAAAAATCAGAGGTTCACTTGCAATTTGATTGTATGATTTCTGCTTACTTTGAAACAGATGAATACATTTTATTTTGCTTTTTTTTAAGATACAGGGTCTTGCTATGTTGCTGAAACCGGTCTTGACCTCCTGGGCTCAAGCCATCTTCCCACTTCAAATTCCCAAAGTGCTGGGATTTATAAGCATTTCTTTTTTTTTTTTTTTGAGTTGGAGTCTCACTCTGTCACGTAGACTGGAGTGCAGTGGCACGTTCCCAGCCACCGCAGCCTCGACCTGCTGGGCTCTAGCGATCCTTCCGCCTCAGCCTTCCAAGTAGCTGGAACTACAGGCGCGCGCTACCACGCCCAGCTAATTTTTTGATTTATTATAGAGATGAGATCTCACCAAGTTGCCCAGGCGGGTCTCGAACCCACGGGCTCAGGCAATCCACTCACCTTGGCTTCCCAAAGCGCGGGATTACAGGCTGAGCCACCAAACCAGGCTATAAGCATTTCTTTTACTTTTGTTGTTGTTGTTGTTGTTTGGTTGTTTGCTTTTGAGTCAGAGTCTCAAAAATCGTGCAGTGGCACAGTCATAGCCCACCGCAGCCTAGACCTGCTAGGCTCAGGCAATCCTTCTGTCTCAGCCTTCCAAGTAGGGAACTATAGGCATGTGCCACCACACCCAGCTAATTTTTTTAATTTATTATACAGATGAGATCTCGCCAAGATGCCCAGGCTGATCTTGAACCCCTGAGCTTAGGCAATCCTCTCACCTTGGCCTCCCAAAGTGCTGGGATTATAGGCATGAGCCACCATGCCCAGCCTTCTTTCACTTTGTAACAGATGTATTACTAATACTTCCTTTCATTTTGAAACATAATTTATGATTTCTTTATATTAACTTGAAAACTCTGACTACTTTTCTTTTCCGTTATTTATGCTTTTACCCATTAGAAAATTTCAAGCAAAATTGCTTTTCTTCTGTGAGTTGCCACTTGTTTATTTTGGATTTTTCCTCCCATGGATTCAGTCCGAGCTTATTTATTTTGCAGTCACTCAAGAATGCTGGGCTCCTGTCCTGGGTCTTAACAGCAAAAGCAATGTTGTTATACAGAAAGAAGGAAAAAAGTTACCTGATTTCTGGATATAGACATAAGCAAGCCAGCTGTAAGTCAGGCTATTGAAATGTGCCTATCAGCCGGGCTCGGTGGCTCAGCCTGTCATCCCGCGCCTTGGGAGGCTGAGGTGAGTGGATTGCCTGAGCCCGCGGGTTCGAGACCCGCCTGGGCAACTTGGCGAGACCTCATCTCTACAGTAAATCAAAAATTAGCCGGGCGTGGTAGCGCGTGCCTGTAGCTCCAGCTACTTGAAAGGCTGAAGCAGAAGGATCGCCGGAGCCCAGCAGCCCAGCAGGTCGAGGCTGCAGTGGCCGGGAGCAGCTACTGCACTCCAGTCTGGGTGACAGAGTAAGACTCCAACTCAAAAGAATAAAAATAAAAAATTTTTTAGAAATGAAATGTGCCTATCAAGAAAGAAACTCTTGACCCAGTACAGTGACTTATACCTGTAATCCCAGTAGTTTGGGAGGCTGAGGCAGGAGGATCACTTGAGCCCAGGAGTTCAAGGCCAGCCTGGGCAACATAGCAAGACCTCTTCTCCACAAAAAATTAGTAAGTTAACCAGGTGTGATGGCACACACCTGTAGTCCCAGCTACTGGGAGGCTGGAGCAGAAGAATCCCATGAGCCCAGGAGATTGAGGCTGCAGTGAGCTGTGATCATGCCACTACACTCCAGTCTGGGTGACAGAGTGAGATCCTGACTCAAAAAAAGAAAGAGCTGGGCATGGAGGCGAGAGGATTGCCTGAGTCCCATGGGTCCGAGACCAGTCTGGACAACTTGGCAAGACCTCCTCTCTACGATAAATTTTTTTTAAAAACTGCTGGGCATGGAAGTGTGCATCTGTGGTTCCAGCTACCTGGAAGGCTGAGGCAAAAGAATCACCCGAGCCCAGCAGGTTGAGGCTGCAGTGGTCCTGAGTGTACTACTGCACTCCAGCCTGGGTGATAAGTGAGAAGGTGGGAGGGAGGGAGGGAGAAAGGAAGGAAGGTTCCTTACTGTGTGATGCATTTGGAAAACCTGTTGTGGCTAGATAAGTTATGATTGTGTTTTTCTTTTCTTTTCTTTTTTTTTTGAGTCGGAGTCTCACTCCGTC